GTTTGTGTCCAATGCGAGACACTCTCTGGGGATGCTGCCATTACTAATAGCAGCACGTCTGACTTGGCTAAGGATGCGGACTATAAATATATATGCGGTCACGGAGAACATATTGAGAAGTTCGGAGGCCTTTAATACCCATAAGAGCGTCTCGACCCGAGAACAGAACTAGACGTAGACATTCCCGTCCAGCAAGTCATTCCCCACGGTCCAATAAAGATGCATGAAACTAAAACCAATTCCCATAAGTCTCTATAAAAAATTGAAAAATATATGTATCTATGTAAGTTCTTATAAGTAGCTACAAAATTACAATACCAGGTTTCTATAACAGACTATCATAGGATATTCTTGTCAATCCGGTCCACCCTCCCTTAACTATTCGTCTCAGATAAGTAGCTATACTGTCTTATATGACCGCAATATATTATATAATTAGTTCACTAGTAGAGATGTTCAGAACAGATGCATTTCAATTCATCTTTAAAATCATGTCACTAGAAAGTGCTGCCAAATATACAGCATTATGGGGTGGTAAGTATAAATGACATACAGTGTTGTTCAAACTGTGTGTAAGATAAGACAACGATAAGATAAGGATAATCGGTACGAAGTAGTGACTTTTTTTTTTCCCTCCTGGATTGACAAAGTATTTTCAACAATGAATCCAGCTAGGTACCAAGCTATTTCCGCAGTAGTTTAACCAATTTAACCCCCTTCAATATTCATCTTGCAACCATCCTCTCCTATCCTTTCATATCCTAGACATCAATTAAGCCAAGATTTCAAGATGGCTAAGGAGAAGAAAGTTAAGAAGGAGAAGACTGAAAAGCACGAGAAGAAGGTCTCAACAGACAAGGTGAAGAAGCACAAGAAGGAGAAAAAGGAGAAGAGGGAGAAATCAAAGCGTGCAGCGACTCCTGATAGCTCTGATAATGAGCTCGCAAAAGTGGAGGACACCCCAGCAGTAGCTGTGCAATCTGTAGGCTCATCATTCTCTACTCACCTATTGGAAAAACGAGCTAACTATGACACCCCAGGCAGACGATCCCATGCCAGCAGCTCCCACAGAACTCACAGACGACCAGAAGAAGCAAGCCAAGAAAGCAGCAAAGGCAAAAGCAAAGGCAGAAAAACAGGCTGCCGAAACTGCCACCACCGAAGGAGCATCTACATCGACAGCGCTACCCATGCGAAACACTACTACGGCTTCCGAGGGCGATGATGCTAAGGAAGCCCCTCCGCTATTCACTATCGATACGAACCCCACCCCGGTCGATCTCAACTCTATAGCTACGCGAGAACCCATAACCACAGACAAGGTCAAGGGTGGCAAGAACAAGGGCACGAAGCCACCTAGTGGACTGAACCGGAGTGCTCGTCGGCGGATCAAGTTGATCGAGCGGCAGCGGGAGACGATACAAAAGAAGCTGGGGGTACCTGTGGGCTCTAACGAAAAGGCGGACGAGGTGCAAGAACAGCTCGACAAGTGGACCGCCATCTATGATGACAAGACGGCGATTCGCATGGAGAAGAAGCGCATACGCAAGGAGAAGGATGCCATGAGAATCAGGAACAAGAGAGGCAAGATCTTGACGGGACGAAAGCTCAAGGAACGGAAGCAGCAGCTGGAAAGGATGGAGAAGAAGCAGCGGAAGAAGCAAAATGCTGCCGGAGACAAATAACTGGCCTTATCGCGGTGGGCGGCTTCACTACACTTGTCCTCGCAGATCTTCAGACATGGGATGTTTCTCCCGAAGGCGTTTTCGGTGTGGAATCGTCAAAACTTGCTTGCTTTCGCATAGTTTTATTCCCCCCAGTCGTTTCCCAACGTTGATAGAGATGTACGTGCTAGGCTGCATGAAATGCCGACGCATTCACAAAAACACCAATATTATTAGAAACCAATGAATTTCTAATATTCCAACTAAATAAGCTCAATTATCATTAGCAGAGATATGCCATGATACTTAGTTACATCCTGTGTATGCGTCCCAACTCCAACCGAGGTTACTATACTCCCATATATGCAATTCCCGTAATATACAGCTCAGAACGTCCCCTTTCGTATAATTAACGACGTCACGTCTTCTTCGAGTCGCTATCTTCCTTTCCCTGCTTCGATTTCGCCTCCTCTCGACCCTCCTCTCCCTTCTTACTCCCCCAATTCCACACCTCGGAGATCTGATCCGTGATCAAGCCCCAGTACCCGCCGCCGCCCTCGGCGAGGGCCTCCTTCTCGCGTCGTTCGCGCTTCTCCTTCCAGTCGTCGCCCTGGTCGCCCATCCAGATCTTCTCGAGGATTCCGCGGTCCCCCTCCTCAGCCTCGGTCCCGGCCTCGGCCTCGGCGTTCGTCTGCTGCCGACTGCGCAGGCGGTCGTCCTCGAGGCGGGCGGCGCGCTCGGCGCGCAGGCGCAGCTGGGTCTCCCGCGCCTTCTCGGGCAGCTCGGTGCCCGTCAGCGCCTTCATGCGCGCGTCGAGCCGCTGCTGCCACCCCGACACCCCCAGGTAGTCGGACGCGAGCCGGTTCCCGCCCCACAGCGCCACGCCCCCCAGGATCACGAACCGCAGGTCGAACTTGCGCGGCGGCAGCAGCAGCGCCCCGAGCGCGATCGGCGTCACGCCCAGCGCGACGGTGTGCAGGACCGGGTTGCGGACGGCTTGCGTTGCGGGCGGCGGCGGCGCTGCTGCTTGGGCTGGCTGCGAGGTGGAGGATGGGGAGGAAGATGGGGGGGTTGTCGTGGGGGGAGGGGGAGGGTTTGGCGACGCCATTGTCGTCGTGTTGGGGAATACCTATTTGCGGGATTCGTACACAGGACTGCACTATAGGAAAAGTAGGTAACAATTCATGCAAATGGTAACGGAGCGTTTCGAAGGCTCCCGAGGTCGTTTTGCGTGGTCTCGGCTGTGTGTAACTACCTAGGTACCTAATCGATGATGGAAGAAGCTTTCACAAACCTAACTTTTCTTACAGGGGTGTCATTCAAGCTAGTGGATCCCAACTCTCGGAGTCGGCGATTTCCCATTTAGGAATAGGTTACTTTTAAGCGATTATTACTAATCAAGTCATTCACATAATATATTAAGAGCTTGAATTAGGAATTAATTGATTTAAGGCATTTAACCCGAAATGAAGCTATTTGTAAAATATCTAATTTATAGTACCTATCGGTGTTAATATTTTATATATTAAGAGCTTAAATTAGGAATTAACTTAAGGCTTTTTATTTAAAATAAAGCTATTTATAAAATATTTAATTTATAACACTTATTAATTTTAACATCCTATATACCCTTTTAATAGCCTTTATATATAAATTAAGTATAAATATAAATAACGTTAATTTAACGTTAAAAGTTAATAAATTAAGCCAGTATTTATACCGCCTCGTTTTATTTATTAATAAAGTTATAGGCATTTTTAAAAGTACTATTATTAATATCGATTTATTATTATTATTTAAATAAACTAATAGTTTTAAAAATAAAAGGCGTAGTTTATTTTTTTTCGTTTTTATTATAAATTAAAGCCGTTATTATTATAACATTAAAAGCGGCTTATTATTTTTTATATATAAGAAATAATATATTAAATATATAAAATATATCTAATTTAATTATTTATATAAATAATTAGATCTTTTTATTAATTTATAAAAAGGTTATATTTATTAAAAAAGAATTCTAATTCTGGTTATTAATATTTAAACTATAAAAAGTATAGCCGTTTTAATATATAACCTATTATAAGATATTATTAAAGATAACTTAAATACTATAAGCTTTAATTACTTTTTTAAAATTATAAGGTTTAAAAATATTTATATCGGCGTAAATGTCGTAAAAGTTTTATTATAGCGGCTTATATTTATTAATTATATATAATATTTATAGCTTTAAAATGGGTAAATATTACTGTATTATTTTAAAGAAAATGCTTTTTTAAAGCCTTTTATAATTGGTATTAATATAGCAAATTTAGGTATATATAGTAAAACTATCGGGAATATATTCCTTTTTATAATACGGATAATTCGTAATAATTATAATATATATATCGGCAGGACGGAAAATAAATATAGATAATATAATTAATAGATATATTAAGTAAATTTTAAATATAAGTATTAAATATTAAGTAAGTAAAAAGGCAATTAGCTTATTTTATATATATTAAATTAAATGCTTTTAGTTAAATATATAAAACTTAAATGATAAATTTATTAAATTATAGGTTATAAAAATAATAGTAAGGTAATTATAAATGCCTTTATAGATTTTTAAATTTAATAGCTATAATGTAGTAATATTCCCGTTTCGGAAGGCGGTAAAAATATACGCAAATTAAAATACAGCGTAATTTATAGCGTAATAAAGGCTATAGCTATAATAGACCTTATAGTAATAGCTATAAAGGTTTAAAAATAAAATTAACTTAAAATGCTATTAATTAGCTATTTAAAAGGCAATAAGAATTAATTGCCGTTAGTTAATACCGTTTTTTTAATATTAATAAGGTATATATATATGTATTAAATAAAGAAAAGAATAACGTATTTATAAAAGTAATATAAAAGGCAGTATAAGAGGTAATTATATATAACCTTATAGGAGGTATGGATAATAACTAAGCAGTTAAGATAATTAATTTAAAAATGATTAAAAAAAATAGCGTTTTTATACTTATTTTACGAAAGGAGGCTAAAAACGAGGTAAAAATTAAACAGCTATAATTAAAGTTATACGTAATTAAAAATATACTTAAATAAAAGAATGTTATAAAAAGCGTTATAATATATAAATATATTAAAAATACATATAAATTATATATAAAAATATGTATTAATAATAAATGCAATATATTTTACATTAAAGGTAGGGTAATTTAAGAAGTATTTCGTATATTATTTAAATAAAGACATTATTTAAATAGTAATTATTTAAAAATTAAAACATTAAATATCAATACTTAATAACTATTAAATCTTTATACTTAATAACGCCTTAAAAGGGAATCGAACCCTTATTTAGGACTTATTAGTTTTAATTATACCACTAAACTATAAAGGCTTTATATATAATTGCTTTTATAATATAATGATTTATTAATTAATTAAATATATATATTTAAAGTTATATATATAATTATATACGTAAAATTACTTTTTTTATTAATTTATTAGAGTTATATTAGCTTTACGCTAATAGTTAAGACTTTAGGTAATAATCGTAAATAAGTGCTATTATAGTAGATTATTTTATAATAGCCCGCTGTATTTTACCTAAGTGGTTAAGATAGGAAAGGCGTAGTATATTATTATAAAATAATTTACTATAATATAGTTATATGTTATTTTTATTAATTTAATTATTTAATCCTTTTTTCCTTTTAATTTTATGCCACTTTTTAAGATTTATAAATTGTATATTATTAGTTAAATCGTTAGAAATAATAACCTTAGTTATTTTAAAGGGAAACTAAAATAGTATTTATAAAGTTACAGCGATTATAAGTCGTTATTTATAGTTACCGTAACGCTTATAATATATAATAAGCTATTTAGTTTTAAAAATAACCTATAAATATATAGCTTAAATAGTGCGTAGTAAATCGAACGTTATTTAGCCTTAATATAATAGGTAGTTTTTTCCGATATTTATATAATTTATAATGTTATTAACCTATATATATAGTTAAATATTAAGTTACTATTTAAATATAATAAAAAACGGCCCCTTTATATAAAATCTAACCTTATTAAATAGAATTATAGCTTATTAAGGTTTTTTTAATAGGTATTAGTTATTTTAAGTTATTAAAATTAAAGCAGGTTTATTAGGTTTATATGCTACCCTTTATTTGCTGTAATTAAGGAAAGGCGTAAAACCATTAAAGTAAGAAAAGGACTTTAACGAGTTAAATTTATTTATAGCAGTAGTTTAAAAAAGTCCTATAATACCCGGTATTATTAAAAGGTAATTCGATTAATTTATATATCCCTTTATTTTATATACCCTTTAGTATTAGGATTATATTTACCTAATTTCTAGCTGTTTAAATAAATAAAAGGGTATTAAAAAGCGTTATAAAATAAGGTTCGTTCCGTTATATAATAAAGTAAATAGCGATTAAAGATACTTTATTAAAATAAAGGCGGCTATTATAATAAATAATAATTTCCTATTACTTTTTTCTTTATATATTATCCCGTATAACGTGTTTTTTTATATTAAGCAGGCTTTTTTATATTAACTTGGCTTATAAAAATAGTAAAAAATCAGAATTAAAAGTAGCTAATTTAGTACTATATTTAATATATACCTTAAATAGCACCTTTTATAATACCTTTTACTATTAATATATATTATTTAAAATGGCTTAAACTATAGTAAATTTACCTTTTAAGCTATTTATTTTCTAATAGTTTAAAACGTTAATAGTTTATAGGTGATTTATTAGCTTTTATAATATAGGGATATCATTATAGTTAAATGCCGTTAAATTTAGGGTTTGCTGGGGTAGTTAAAACGGTTGGTGAGTTTTTTTTAAGCGTAATTAGCGAATGTTATAAAATTAAATAAGTGCGTATTTACGTCCGCTATAATAGCGTTTTAATCCCGTACCGGCTTAATATTGCCGATATGTTGATTTTTAATTATTTAAGTATAAAAGCCGATTATATATATTTAACTGTTAATATATCGGGTTTCTTATTTAATAATAAGGTATAGTTTATTATATATACCGCTTTTTATATTTATACTTTATACGTAAATCGTACCGTATTTTTTAAGTTATTAATAGCGGTAAGCTATTTAATTTAACGTATAACTTATATTTTTACGCTATTTATGTGTTATTATATTTTAATATATATAGCTAAAGTTATTTTAAGCGATTAATTTTACCGGTATACTTTTATATTTTATATAAATAACGGAATATAATTATCGATTATTTTAGCTTTTATAAAAAGATCCCGTTTATTTTTTTTATTTATATATATTTCCAGAAATTCCTAACGGCGATATTTATTAATATTATTTATTAATAACTATTAAATACCTTATTAATAGTATTTATTTTTAAACTATTATTAAGAATAAGTATTTTTTAAAGCCCGTAATTTATATAAGTAAACCTAGAAAATATGCGCAAAATAGTAAAGCGGTTATAATAGAAAGAATAATAAAAAAGAGAATAATGGGAAAAAAAAGAATAAAAAGAAGAAAATTAAGAGGAAAAAGAACAAAAGGAAAAAGAACGAATATCTATTTTCGGACTTTTCTTTATTATACCGGCTATATATACCCTATTTTTAATTTATTTATTTAGCTTTACGTTTAAAGAATCCTAAATAAGGAAATAAGCCAAATAGTATTACGGCCTTTCCTAATAGCGCACCTTTTTTTAATTACCTGCCTTTTTTTAATAATATATTAATATTATCGCTTTTATTATAATATTCGGCGTACCGAATTTTTACCTTAATAACGCCCGCTTATATTTAAATATTTATCTTATTTAAACCGTTTCCGAATTTAGCTTTATTTTAAAGGAAAAAAATAACTTAACGGTAGCGATTTTTTATTTTAAAAGGTACTATAAGCCGTTAATAAAAATATATCTATTATTATATATAAATAATTAATTATATATAAATAATTAATTATATATAATTATAAAATATTTATAAAATATTATAAAAGGTAAAATAGCGCCGGATTAGTTATTTTAGGTATTTTCGAATATTAGGTTAAAAAAAATTAAAAACTATATATTTTTAATATAAAATACTTAGGCATTTTTTTTATAAAAGTATATTTCGGGTAAATATATCTAGTTTAGGTTAGGTTCCGGAAAAAAATTAAATATATCCGAATAGAATAATTAAAATATACCGATTTAATTGCCGTTTTTAATTATAGTAACTATAAATTTAATAAAAAATACCGTTTATATATTTAACGAAACCTTAATATATACCGTTTTTAAATATAAATAAAAATTAAAGTATATAAATTTTCTTTTAAAATAATTTAATATTATTATAATTTACTTTTTTTAATTTTATTATAAAATATTATATTTTATTAAATTAATATTTATAAAAAGGTTTAGGATAAGCTTAAATATTAAACTTAAAGATTTTATATAAAGCGTTCCTATAATAAAATATATAATACGTATTTTTAATTATTAGTTTATATTTTAATAACCTATTATAGCCGAAATTATTTTAATTAAATTTAAGGCGATATATAGCGTCGTAAAATATATAGATATATTAATATAAAAAATTACCGGGTTAAATAAAAACTTAATTTATTAATAAAAAAAGATAGGCCCGTATTTTAAAATAATTATATTAATATATTATAAATTCCGTAATATTATAGCCTATAAATAGCTATTCTGTAAATCGATAAATGCTTTAATTTATTTAATAAATTAATTATTAATAATCCGGTGAAAAAAATACGACGCGCTTTTTATATTAAACTAATTACGTTTAAAAAATTTTAAGACTATTTTTTTATAATATATCCGTATTAAATTTTAATTTATATAATTCTATTTTATATATTTATTAACCTATTTATGGCTATAGGATTAATTAATTTAATAAATAAATTATATTTAAATATTTATTAAATATATTATTTAAGTTTATATATAAAAATAAACTTTATTAGTATTAAAAGACGTTAATTTAAATATTATTAGTTAGGTTATTTAATATTTTAATTAAAATAATAAATATTAAAAGAAAAAATAAAGCTAAGAAATATTATAGTAAATATATTAAAGCTAACGTATTGATTTTATTTTTATTTTAAACTATTCCGATAAAGCCGATTTTATTTATATATAAAATAATCCGTTTATTAATATAATTTTATTATTTTTTATAAATAAACCTAAATTTTATTTATATTTTTAAAGTTCCGCTATATTATTTAAATATATAATTATATATTTTATTATAAAATACCTATATTTATATATAATAACCCGTTATAATAAAATACCGAAATAATACCGCTATTAATGGGTATTTATTTAAAAAAAATCTTTATTTCGAAAAATCTAAACGGTATTAAATTATAAAATTAAATACGTAAGTTTGATATATTAAAAAAAAAATAGAAAGTTTTAAATTCGATTATTATTTATATAAATTGGGTATTTAATTTTTTTATAAAAAAAAAATTAAAAAAAATTTAAAAGGGATTATAAAATAGAAAATTATTACGTTATTTATAAATATTTATTATATATATTTAAAAAATAATAAGCCGAAAAAATCTTATTATAAATAGCTATAAATAGATAAAATTTTAATTATATTCCGGACTACGCCTTTAATTTTAAACCTATTAATATTTAATAAAATAAACTAAAAAAAGATAATAAAACTATTTTTATAAAATATATTTATTTTAAATATTAATAGTTCGGATAATAAATAATTAAATAGTTTAGGTATAAAAATATAGCTATTTAAATTATATAAAAAATATTATTAATAAGCGAAATTATATTTAATATTTATATATTTTTCTTTTCCTATTTAAAGCCGAATAATAATATTAATCGATAATAAAAAAATAATAGAACTTTTATTTTAAAGCTATTATTATTAAATAATAGATTTATAAAAAATAAATTATATAAATATAAAAAAACCCGTTAATATATTAAAAAAAATCGATAATAACTATATAGTATTTTTAAATAGTAAATATATTTATAAATTTATTAATAATAAAAATAGCTATAATCCGATATAGTTATAAATTTTCTTTAATTTTATAAAAAAGGAGTCCTTTAATTATACGGAAAAAAAATCCCTTAATCCCGTAAAAAAGGAATCCGGTAACCTCGATTTTCGGTAATTTTTTAATTACCTAACTAATAAAAAAATAATATAATTTAATACTATAAGCGAATTAATATCGGTCGAAAAGTTATAAAAATATTGCCTTTTTTTAATTAGTTTAAACGTTTTAAGGTTATATTATTTTTTATTATTAATAAATATATTATTTTTTTTATAAAATAAAAC